TTCAGTTCTAGTTCAGTTCTAGTTCAGTTCTAGTTCAGTTCTAGTTCAGTTCTAGTTCAGTTCTAGTTCAGTTCTAGTTCAGTTCTAGTTCAGTTCTAGTTCAGTTCTAGTTCAGTTCTAGTTCAGTTCTAGTTCAGTTCTAGTTCAGTTCTAGTTCAGTTCTAGTTCAGTTTCTAGTTCAGTTCTAGTTCAGTTCTAGTTCAGTTCTAGTTCAGTTCTAGTTCAGTTCTAGTTCAGTTCTAGTTCAGTTCTAGTTCAGTTCTAGTTCAGTTCTAGTTCAGTTCTAGTTCAGTTCTAGTTCAGTTCTAGTTCAGTTCTAGTTCAGTTCTAGTTCAGTTCTAGTTCAGTTCTAGTTCAGTTCTAGTTCAGTTCTAGTTCAGTTCTAGTTCAGTTCTAGTTCAGTTCTAGTTCAGTTCTAGTTCAGTTTCTAGTTCAGTTCTAGTTCAGTTCTAGTTCAGTTCTAGTTCAGTTCTAGTTCAGTTCTAGTTCAGTTCTAGTTCAGTTCTAGTTCAGTTCTAGTTCAGTTCTAGTTCAGTTCTAGTTCAGTTCTAGTTCAGTTCTAGTTCAGTTCTAGTTCAGTTCTAGTTCAGTTCTAGTTCAGTTCTAGTTCAGTTCTAGTTCAGTTCTAGTTCAGTTCTAGTTCAGTTCTAGTTCAGTTCTAGTTCAGTTCTAGTTCAGTTCTATTCAGTTCTAGTTCAGTTCTAGTTCAGTTCTAGTTCAGTTCTAGTTCAGTTCTAGTTCAGTTATAGTTCAGTTCTAGTTGAGTTCTAGTTCAGTTCTAGTTCAGTTCTAGTTCAGTTCTAGTTCAGTTCTAGTTCAGTTCTAGTTCTTTTAGTTCAGTTCTAGTTCAGTTCTAGTTCTAGTTCTAGTTCAGTTCTAGTTTAGTTCTAGTTCAGTTCTAGTTTAGTTCTAGTTCAGTTCCTGTTCAGTTCTTTTTCTAGTTCTAGTTAATTTTTAGTAAAGTTCTAGTTCAATTCTAGTTCAGTTCTAGTTCAATTCAAGTTCATTTTTAGTTCAGCTATATTATGTATATTTTTATAAATCATGAAAGGAGTTTATTTTAATTTTGAATCATTATTCCCTGTTATATAGGGAATCATTATTCCCTGTTATTTGAATATGAACTTGAAAACATTTTAACTTTTTTATAATAAAAGTTAAAATTTAACAGTTATAAATAAAATTACCAAAATTTGGTCTTGGAACTTGAAAAATTTGAAGCTTTAAATTAAAAATAAACAATATTTAAAAAACACTGTATAACCTCTTTCTGTCCTAAATGAGCGCAACGTATTTAGTTTAAAAGTTATTTAATTACTTTTAATAATATCGTTTAGTAATTAAGTCATAAATATTAATTATTCGTTTTACTTTTAGAAATTGTCGTAAAAGTCAATAGTATTGGAAATATTTTGTTGAAGTTCTGGTTTAAATGATCTAATATTTAGTCTAATGGGCAGTGATCGTATTTATTGTCTAATGTGACGTTTGTCTTGTTTTAAATCACCAACATCCTCTAGAAATTAATTAAATTTGCATTAATTAAAATCGTTTTTTATAACTACTTGTGGTGTGGACTTTTGTTTTTGTTTTTACATATTTGTAGCATTTCTTTTTTGGACCTGATGTGGCTGGGTCAGTATTTTAAATTTGTAATAATTTAACATTGAACTAATTAAAAACAACAAATCACCCACCACCAGTTCCACTACTTATAATAATTCTCCAACTACTACTAAAACTATTAGAACAATAACGTTAAACATCTACTTAATTTGTTTAGAAATGTCATATAAATTTAAAATTAGTACGTGTTGACAGTAAAACAAAAAACTACATTCATATGTAAGTAAGTGTGCAAATGTACGTGGATTAAATAATAATTAAGTTCAAAATAATATTACGATGATAGAATTGTCCACTGGCAAAAACGTCATAATGCAAAATATTTTAAATCTATCATTTAAGATTTGTAATTGATAATTTAATAACATACATTTTTAATTATTTTATCCTTTAAATACATTTCCTAACTCCATATTATTATTTTTTAATATTTAATACTTTATATTTGGAGCAAGTTAAATTTAAATTTAACAAAAACTTCTCAACTCACCCTCGTATGTAATTTAATAAAAAACAAAGCAATTCTTTTCACTAACTAAAAAAGGGCGCTAAAATGCTTCAAATAAATATCGCCTGAGTTTTTTTAATTTCAAATATTTCCTAGCTTAAAGATTCTTCAGAACACTAATGTGTGACACAAGTCCATTTAAATCAATTGTTCGCTCATTTTATCAACGACTTCGAAAGTGCGTTTCCTACGAAGTGATCGCACATAGTAATGTGGGAATGGGAATTAAACGCTCATAAATAAATTAACGGTGACATAAATAAAATTAAAAAAAAAAAGAAAAATAAACAAAATTCATATGTTTTAGTACGAATTTAGTTGATGTGCGCCAGAATTGCTAAAGTCAAGGCAAGATTATTCCTGAGTTTTAAATTGATCTCTCTTTAAGCTAATTTTTTATTTGTCGAAATGAGCAGTTATCACAACACATTCTCCACAACTGAAGAGTGTTTTTTTCCTGCGATCACTTCGTACGATTGAAGCACGACAAATTAGCCAGCATCCACATTAGTTGCCGGCTAATTTTGTGATTTTACTGGTGATAAAAAAGTGCGTTGACTTTTAGATTTTTATCTTAAAATGTGTTTTTTTATGTCTATAGAGTAGTTGTAGAGTATATTGCGATAGGTCAAGGTCTTTTAGATACGATGTAAGAAAACGTTTGTGTTTAGAATTTTTTAGAAAGAGAGGAATTTTGGAAATTGAAGTTTTTGACTAATTTAAGTCAAATAAGAAGTAGAGTAAATGAACATGTTTAGTTCAGTTCTAGTTCAGTTCTAATTCAGTTCTAGTTCAGTTCTAGTTCAGTTCTAGTTCAGTTCTAGTTCAGTTCTAGTTCAGTTCTAGTTCAGTTCTAGTTCAGTTCTAGTTCAGTTCTAGTTCAGTTCTAGTTCAGTTCTAGTTCAGTTCTAGTTCAGTTCTAGTTCAGTTCTAGTTCAGTTCTAGTTCAGTTCTAGTTCAGTTCTAGTTCAGTTCTAGTTCAGTTCTAGTTCAGTTCTAGTTCAGTTCTAGTTCAGTTCTAGTTCAGTTCTAGTTCAGTTCTAGTTCAGTTCTAGTTCAGTTCTAGTTCAGTTCTAGTTCAGTTCTAGTTCAGTTCTAGTTCAGTTCTAGTTCAGTTCTAGTTCAGTTCTAGTTCAGTTCTAGTTCAGTTCTAGTTCAGTTCTAGTTCAGTTCTAGTTCAGTTCTAGTTCAGTTCTAGTTCAGTTCTAGTTCAGTTCTAGTTCAGTTCTAGTTCAGTTCTAGTTCAGTTCTAGTTCAGTTCTAGTTCAGTTCTAGTTCAGTTCTAGTTCAGTTCTAGTTCAGTTCTAGTTCAGTTCTAGTTCAGTTCTAGTTCAGTTCTAGTTCAGTTCTAGTTCAGTTCTAGTTCAGTTCTAGTTCAGTTCTAGTTCAGTTCTAGTTCAGTTCTAGTTCAGTTCTAGTCAGTTCTAGTTCAGTTCTAGTCAGTTCTAGTTCAGTTCTAGTTCAGTTCTAGTTCAGTTCTAGTTCAGTTCTAGTTCAGTTCTAGTTCAGTTCTAGTTCAGTTCTAGTTCAGTTCTAGTTCAGTTCTAGTTCAGTTCTAGTTCAGTTCTAGTTCAGTTCTAGTTCAGTTCTAGTTCAGTTCTAGTTCAGTTCTAGTTCAGTTCTAGTTCAGTTCTAGTTCAGTTCTAGTTCAGTTCTAGTTCAGTTCTAGTTCAGTTCTAGTTCAGTTCTAGTTCAGTTCTAGTTCAGTTCTAGTTCAGTTCTAGTTCAGTTCTAGTTCAGTTCTAGTTCAGTTCTAGTTCAGTTCTAGTTCAGTTCTAGTTCAGTTCTAGTTCAGTTCTAGTTCAGTTCTAGTTCAGTTTCTAGTTCTAGTTCAGTTTTAGTTCACGTTCTAGTCAGTTCTATTCAGTTCTAGTTCAGTTCTAGTTCAGTTCTAGTTCCGGTTCTAGTTCAGTTCTAGTTCAGTTCTAGTTCATTTCTAGTTCAGTTCTAGTCAGTTCTGTTCAGTTTAGTTCAGTTCTAGTTCAGTTCTAGTTCAGTTTCTAGTTCAGTTCTAGTTAGTTCTAGTTCAGTTCTAGTTCAGTTCTAGTTCCGTTCATAGTTCAGTTCTAGTTCAGTTCTAGTTCAGTTCTAGTTCAGTTCTAGTTCAGTTCTAGTTCAGTTCTAGTTCAGTTCTAGTTCAGTTTCTAGTTCAGTTCTAGTTCAGTTCTAGTTCAGTCTAGTTCAGTTCTAGTTCAGTTCTAGTTCAGTTCTAGTTCAGTTCTAGTTCAGTTCTAGTCAGTTCTAGTTCAGTTCTAGTTCAGTTCTAGTTCAGTTCTAGTTCAGTTCTAGTTCAGTTCTAGTTCAGTTCAGTTCCGTTCTAGTTCAGTTCTAGTCAGTTCTAGTTCCAGTTTCTTTAGTTCAGTTCTAGTTCAGTTCTAGTTCATTCTAGTTCAGTTCTAGTCAGTTCTAGTTCAGTTCTAGTTCAGTTCTAGTTCAGTTCTAGTTCAGTTCTAGTTCAGTTCTAGTTCAGTTCTAGTTCAGTTCTAGTTCAGTTCTAGTTCAGTTCTAGTTCCGTTCTAGTTCAGTTCTAGTTCAGTTCTAGTTCATTATTATTAAAAAATTCCCTTATTAGCAGATTATTCTCAAATCTGTTCTAACTGTCAAGGATCATATTATGGAGAGTACTATAATTCTAGAAAATAATGACAAGTTTTACTCAATCCCTATAATGATCTTAAAAGATATCTATGTAGATCTTTAGAGTCTACAAAATTAAATGTTGCAGAACTTCTAAAAGGATATTTTGGGAATTCTTATTATGCTTATCATTGCTATATAAAGCTCTAATAAAATATTGATGTGCTATTAAAGTAAAAAATAAAATTTCTAGTTTGCAGTTTTATTTTACAAACAATAAATAATTTACCTTTTCAAAGTTAATTCCAAATGCTACAATGATGATAACACCGGCTCAGCTTCAATTTGTTATATTTTTTCTTTCACAAAAAATTTCGAATCACGTTTTTCAGTTTTCGTTTAGTGACACGTACAAACGTTAGAAATTAAATTCACAGTAAGTGTTTAACAATAAAATTGTAAATTTTCATTGTTCACCAAAAGAAAAAGATCTCATTAAAAATAAATTGTGCACTTAATTGATTTAAATATTCCAGTGGATTTTATTTAAATGTTACATTTTTATACACAAATATAATTTTTTATAGAAATTGATTATTTTTTCATTTGAGTTTCTTGAATGTCTTGATATTTTAAGAACAAATGGGAAAAGATGCCTGTAACCAAAAGAAAAGAAATAAATTATAAGTAAAAAGTATTATTTATACTTTTAGAGACAACACAAAAAGGCTAGACAAGATTGAGGATCTTGCTATTGGTGGTGGTGATTGTGGTGATGAAGTGATAATGATAATAATAATAGATTGATTATCTACTTGAAAGTTGAACAGCATGTGTTTAATAAACAAAACAATTGTTATAATAATAAATATTTATTTATTTCTTTTGTTGTTCACTTTTAGCACATTTTTAGCGATTGTAAGTTATCATCATCAACATTTACACGCGATTCCAAAAATTATCATTATCTTAATGAAAAAGACGATAATGATGATCACGATCGTATGTAACAAACCAAAAACAAAATAAGGGTTCAAAAAAAATAATAAAAAACAAAAAAGAATGAATGAAAATATGAGTGAATGACAGATTGTTGTAGTGATCGTTACTAGCGGTAGTAGAATGACACAGATTTTTTTATTTATATTATTTTAGTTAATGTTTTAGCACAACTTGTGATGATTTTTTATTTAAAAAAATATATTTCTATTTTCTCTTTGTTTTTTATGAATTGTCACTGAAAACTTGGTTTTTAAAAAATGCGTGTTATAAATATTTCACTTTTGTTTTTATTTCTTAAGTTGTGCTTTCGATTTAATTTTAACTATTATATTCAATAATATTTCAAATATACCACAAAACACAAAAATTTATAAACCGGAAGTATTTGCAAGGATAATGTTTAATCAAAATATATTGTATGGACTAACTCGTGCATTTGTGTCAAACGTTTAATCTGTAACTGATTTTACAAATCTTCATTAAATTGATTTTCTGTTCCCACTAAAATTTAACTCAAAGTTTTTGAGTTGATTTTTTTTTAAATGATTTAATATTTATTCCAAGACTTTTCTTTTCGTTTACGCGAAAATAACAACCTGTTGCAGGAATAACTCGTTTGTCAATGCCTTCCGTACCGTTAGTCTGTAGTCATTAGAATATCTAAAGCATCCGATCGTCTCTCACAATATATTCGAATACTTTTTAGTTCGTAGACTTAAAGTTTATGTCTGAGCTGGCACGATAATCGTAATATACTAACTAGTAAGTAACTAGTATACAATATGAGTAGAAAAAACTGTTACTGCAAAAAAAGAAAATACAAATGGAAAAAAGTTGAACAAAAATCTACGTTATTTTTTTTTTTGTTGTTTCGCTTAGAATTCATGTCAGTGGCACCGTTGTAGTATTCGCGCGGTGTTTCGATGATAATCGTTGTGTTGGTATTGGTGTTTTATTGTTGGGATTTTGATCATCCATCGTAAGGGAATAAGACTCAATCTCTTATCATCACAGACAAACAAATATTTGGTCTCGCTTATATTCAAAATATTTTTATTACAGACGTGTGAGTAGTAAAATGAACGAAAAAAAAAACAATCACTCAATAAAATATCAAAGAGATTAAAATGATATTGTGTTTACATTTGAATTTTCCATACACTGAGCGAAAAGCTTAATGGAAAGAAGTTGGAATTTTTAAAATTTTTTTGATTATATACCGATATTATTATTAGGATTCTGTTGTCAATTATGGATCCATCCCGAAAAAAATTCAAGAAATATTTTTGTGATCGATCTGTCCGTATTGCATTACGATTAAGTGATTTTCAAAAGTGGACCAATTATGGGCCGATCCGAAAAAATTTCGCTGAAATTTATTAATGTGTATAATATATTCGAATAAAATTTTATCCCGATGTCATTCTTAATTATTATTTACGATTAAGTGATTTTCAGAAGTGAACTTTATATGGAGGCTTTGACCATTTATGGGCCAATCGGAAAAACAATTTTGCTAAATTTTTTTATATGTACGATGTCATTATTAGTTATTTACCATTAACGGATTTTCAAAAGTGGTCTTTATATGAAAGTTATGACAAATTATGGGCTGATCTGGAAAAAAATTAACAGAATAATTCGTGTATATAATCAGCTTATTTGAGAATAATTTCATACCGATTTCGTTATTAATACAAAAGTTCTTTGTATTTTCGGAAGTGGATTTTATCACCCTTATCGCCAATAGAAGTGAAATTTTTGTTCCCCTGAAATATTCATTCTCCTCGAAGGGGAAAATTTCTATCGTGACCTTGTGAACAATTCATTCACAATAGTTGATTTTGTATGCAACAGCTGTTCAATGTTTACAAAATACCACCCAACAAATTTGACAACATCACGACAAAAAAGTTAGCGAACAAAAAAGTGAAAAGGGAACATATTTCACGTGAAATGTTGATTGGCGATAGAGGTGTATGTGTATGAAAGCTGTGACCAATTAGGGGCCGATCAGGATCCGGTGTCTCATATATGTACGTGAAGGGGATATGAGAACTATGGTCAATTATAGACTGATCCAGGCTTTAGTTGTTAATAAAATGTATATTTATATTAGATTGATATGTGGTAATACCGATATCCCAGAAAGACTGATATGGTTTCCAAAAAAATGGTAATATTTTAATAGGTTGTTTCGGAGTTTTCATAGATTTTGCTGACTTTAATAGCGTTCTTCTCGAAAGCATGTCTGATAGAATTAAACAGGCCGACAAATTTTTAATCCAGAGACAAAGTATACCCGTTGAATCCGAATCGGGCCTTAGAATTTCTCCATCACATCTGGGATTTGAGATATCGTGTCCTGAAGTTTGGAAAACTCTATTTTTGGCACTTTTTGAAACGAATCCTTTAGAAATGTCTAACTCGATCTCAGGGTTTTCAAATTTTGTCGACCTGTGTTATTGAAGATTTGGATCTCGCAGAAATCTGGGTTTTACTATTAGGAATCGGAAATGGAAAAATTACGGACAGAATGACACCTTTTTTAAAGAAAGTAAATCTTTTTTTACAAAAAGGGGATTAGATTTGTTTCTTGGAAAGATAAATGGAAAAGTTGGAATGTCAGTTTTAAAAGTTTTCTTGTTTAGCTCTACAGTGTTATTTTTTAACTTTTTTGTTGTCACATCATTGTAAAAGTAAAGACAAATTAAAAACCTAAAAATAAAACCATGCTCTAACAACAATAAAATTTTGAATTCAACACCCCTGATCGTAATACTTATTCCTCCTCGAGTGCTTATTTGCTCTCACCCAAACACCCACACACCCTCAAAAACACTTTTTCACTCACACACTACTTTCTCTTTTATTGTTTCGTTTAGGGGAGCGTATGAGTGATATAAAATTTATAATCATATTTTTATTGCACACACTTTTGCTTTTATCATTATTCTTTTTCATTTTTTTTTTTGCTAATAATATATATTTTTATTTTTCCATTATTGCTTTCTTAATAGTTATTAAATTATTTATTTAATAATTTATCTTTATTTAAATGTTTATTTCATATATTATCTTCGTATATATTTTTATATCACATTAATAACAAAAATATTTGCCATTTGCACAAGTAACTAAATGACTATTATTTTTTTGGGGGAATTTGTATTATTTTCTGTTTTTTCCCATCATAAAAATGACGATGATAATGTACTAAAAACAAATCTAGTTTATGTTTAATGCGAGTATGTTGATTTTGATTACTATTACTCTCACAGTGATCAAATAAAATCCACAATTTCTGGTGGAATTTCGAAAATCACAGTTGATTTGTTGTGTTTGTTTTAAAGACGGGGTTGTATTTTTAGAGTAAGTGTTTTAGAAAAATGTAGGATTTTTGCAAAATTCTATTTAAATATTTCTGCAATAATAATTAAGATTTAGTGTATTAATATTAAAAAAATACCTTTATTTGGTAAATTATGATAATTTTTTTAAAGAAATTATAACATTTATGAAAATATAACCGTGTAGTTTAATCTTAAAATAAATTTTCTTATAAATAATTTATAAATTGATATAATTTTTTAACACCCAAAAATACTGGCAACTTATTTCACATCTTAATGAATTATTTTATTTTAAAAATAACATTTGTATACAACTTAATCAGTTTGGACGTACTTTAGACCCGATCCATTACGCTAAATACATTACAAAACTGCTGGTAAAATTTAAAACAGATCAAGTATATGTGCTTATCATTTGAAGATCGAAAAAGTACCCAAAATCTCCTTCTTATAAATACTCATTTAATAAGGACCCAACTTCATTAGTTTCGGTTCCCCGCCAAAGAAAATTCAAAAGGTATCATTTAAAGAATCAAAAGTACTAAAGCGTCCCCTCTTACAGATTCTTATTCAATCAGGACCCTGCATGTTAAAATTGCAGTTTCATTTAAACGACGAAAAAGTACAAAAAAAATTTTCTATTAAAGAATCTCATTCAATAAGGATCGTTATGTTCAATAATTATGGCTTTATATTATGGAACATATAAAAAATACCATTTGAAGAACGAAAAAGTACCAAAGAGTCACCTCCGACAGTTTTATGTTTCTAGGTTCAATAGTAATTAGACCAATTCTAGCTTATGCTTCAATAATCTGGTGGACTGCTTTGGGCAAAAAGTGTTATATCAAACTACTACATGGAGTTCAGCGTACATGCTGCTTGGGTATAAGTGGTACCATGTGTACTACTTCAAGCAAGGCTCTGGAAACGTTGCTAGATATTCCACCCATTGAAACATATTTAAAATATGAGACGGCGCTTACAGCCGAACGTCTCTTTTCTTTAGGCGAACTGGCTAAAAGCGGTTATAGGACACGTTATCAATGTATACTGGACACATTGGAAGGTTAAACACAATCATTGGACGTGACTGATCTCATACCGGAAACTTTGAAACACTGATTCCAGATAGAATGTCTTGGTCAAACGGAACATTAGAGCAAATACCAGTAGGAATCCGTTGCTAAACGGATGGCTCTAAATTGGGGAACAAGGTGGGCCTGGGGTTCTATATTGAAGACCCAGAAACAAAAATATACCACCATAACACAAGCTTCCAGGCAGAAGTCCGAGCAATAATGGAATGTGTAAATTGTATATATAAATATGGCGCCCACAGGGCTTAATATATTTACCGACAGCCAGAAGGCAATTAGGGCGATATCAGGTGATAGAATTAAATCTAAGACTGTATTGGATTGTAAGAAAGCTTTAACTGATCTAAGACCGTATTGGATTGTAAGAAAGCTTTAACTGAATACTCTCCCAGAGATAAAGTTTACATCATATAGGTACTAGGGCGAATGTAATAAATAGCTTTAAAAAGAAGGGAGCTTGAGGTAGTTAACCTGACATTCCTGACTAACACTGATTGGAAAATTCTTAGAAATTATGTCCAGGAAACTGATTTTTTTTTCATAAAATGGATTGCACAACAAGGCCGATAGTGGCCTAGTTGTATTTCTTCAGATTTGATGTAGTATACATCCTCCTATCAACCTAACCTAGGCTCAATATTACAGAAATGCAAAAAGTGAATGAAAAAAAAACCGCAAATTAGGGTCGTTGTGATAAAACATTTTTGTTTCTATATTAATATTGTTAAAATTTATGCATTTAGAACGATGAAGTAGCGGAATCAATTCATCCTTTGCGGAAAGTTCCAACAAAAATGGAACTATTTTTCCCCTTTTCGCCCAGGAATAGACTTTTCGAGAATTAAGTTTGCAAAATACAACTAAATTGTTTTTTGTTTTAGAGATCTTTGGACCTGCTCCGGATGCGTTTGTGAGGACTAACATAAACTTGAAAACGTATCCTCTTTAGCTTTGATGACAATGTGTAGTGTTATAGTCTGTCAGATCGAATGTCGGATCTGATTTAATTAACTAAGACGATTTAGTTGTGTCCTTCCGTCTGTTGAAGGAGGTTGGCTCCTAATGGTAGGAGTTGTCTTTCTTCCTTTTATTAAACCAACAAAGACTAGTTTTCTAAATAATTAATTAAACAAATTTGAAGAATCCCCTTTTTTATTTTCTATATAACAATGGTACGATTTCATTTGATTTTCATTTAACTTAAGCAACAATATTTAATATTTTTTTTTTCTAATCTAATTATTTTTACAAATAATTTGCCATATTTTTTTTTTTATTTATAAACAATATTTTTATTGAAAAAATCAACAATAATTTTTAGACATAATCACAAGTTATTGATAT